AGACGCGTGCCGTACCGAGCCCACGTGTCCTGCCATAATTTTGACGTGAACTTCGGATCTCGGTCGCTAATGATTGCTGCTGGTATCCCGTGTTGGCGAACAACGGTCGACATGAACAGACGCGCTGTTTCTTCGGCTGTGATGGTTGTACGACATGGTGCGAAATGCGCCATTTTCGTCAATCGGTCGACGACAACCAAAACTGCGTCGTTTTCGCTAGGTTCGGCCGGTAGTCCCGTAACGAAATCCATCGTTACGTGTTGCCATGGGCATTGAGGTGGCTCGAGGGGCTGCAACAGTCCTGTAGGTCGGTGGTGGGATGACTTCATTCGCTGGCAGATCGGACACGTAGCCACGTAACGTTGCACGTCCGTCACCATATCTGGCCAGTAATAAAACCGCTGCAACGCCTTTAGATTTTTATCAACCCCGAAATGTCCCGATAAATTCTAATCGTGGACTTCTTGAATTAGTAATTCGCGAAGTAGACGACAACTTGGGACCCAAATTCGATCAGTCCCGCTTCGTAAGTAATAGACGCCTTTCCGTGTAGTGCTTGGGAGATGGCCGTCGTTTACGAAGAAGGGGTTAGTCGAATACCCGTGGGTAAATAGTCCACTTAGTAGCGAGTTGCTCTGGGCGACTAATACTGCTGCGAGTTGGGCAGATGGTCTGGAAAGGGCGTCGGCAATATTGTTGGCGCCTTTTTTATACGTGAACTTGTACGTGAAATTGGACTCCAGATAGTCCAGCCAGCGTATCTACCGCGGGTTGAGATTCGACTGCGCTCTCAGGTACTGTAGTGATTTGTGATCGGTTCGCACTGTCACGTCTGCTCCAGTCAGGTAGCACCTCCAGATTTTGAACTTGTGGACGATTGCCAGCATCTCCTTGTCGTATACCAGGTAATTGCGCTCAAAGGATTGCATTTTCCGAGACTCGTACGCAATTGGTTGAAGCCCATTGCCGAAATCCTACATGAGCACTGCTCCGATGGCGATGTCACTTGCGTCAATGACTACTTCGAAGGGTCGTTCCGGGTCAGCAATGCGAAGTACCGGTGGTGACATTAAAAAGAATTTTTAATGCCTCGAACGCAGCTTGCTGCTTCCCCCCTCGCTCGTAAAAAAATCCCCTTCTGCAGTAGGTCGGTTAGAGGTCCAGTTAACCCCGCCATGTTGGGTATAAACCACCGCACGTAATTCACGAAACCCAGAAAATATTGTAGCTGCTGCAGGTTTGTTGGTGGTTTCCATTCCTAAATAGCCCGGAGTTTTTTTTTTGTTTATCCGAATCCCCTCCGTGGAGATCACGTGCCCTAGGAACTCCAGTTCTTGTTTTAAAAAACTCGCACTTGGAGCCCTTGGTGATGAGACGATGCTTCTACAACCGCTGAAAAACCGCTTCCAAATCGTTTAAATGTTGCTCGCAGGTCTTGCTGTAGATCAGGATGTCGCCCAGGTAAATTATCACGCATTTGTCGAGTAGATCGCGGAACACCCCATTCATGGTGAGTTGGAACGTTGAGGGGGCGTTCGTTAATCCAAACGGCATCACCGTGTATTCGTAACTCCCGTAGCGAGTACGAAATGCGGTCTTGTGGCAGTCGTCAGCGAACACCCGAATTTGATGGTAACCGCCGCGAAGGTCGATCTTCGAAAAATAGCGAGCTACGCGAAGGTTGTCAATCAGCTCGTCCGTGCGTGGGATTGGGTAGCGCGATTTTATCGTTACCCGATTAAGGGCACGATAGTCTGTACACATGCGAAGTCCGCCGTCCTTATTTGGGGTGAACAGGATCGGTGCTGCGAACGGTGACGTGCTCGGCCAAATGAACCCTTTTGTCAGCAGGTAGTCCAATTGGTTCCATGATTCTTGTAGCTCCGTTTGAGTCAGGCGCCATTGCGTGCGTACAGTGGGCTGCGCGCCGGGCTCCAGCTCGATTTTGTGGTCCTGGGGTCGTTCGGGTGGCAGTCCACTTGGCAAGTCGTCCGGGAAAATCTCTGGGTATTCCCGAATGATTTTCGCCAAATCATCCGGGACCGAAGCACAGAGTTTGTTGATGTCGGTCACCTCGTTGTGTTCCGTCGATTCGGTTAGATGGACGGCGTATCAGTCCGCTCCATTCTTGACCGCTCGCTTGAGGCACACCGCGTTGACTCGTGTCGATGTTGTCTCTGCTTCCGGCCACGTGGGTAATTTTCGCCAACCTTTGTCGCACTTCACTGTGCACTCGCCTGTTGTCCAATCGATCTGCGGATTGAATCTTTGCAGCCAATCGCGTCCCAATAGCACGTCGTAGCCGTCGAGCATTATCGCCAGCATCGGCGCGCTGAAACCAAAATCTTCGCCACACTTCATTCGAACGACGGGTACTTTGTCGCGTATCGCCAACGGGGTGCCGTCCACCAATCGCGCGTCGATTTCGGGCAAACACCTCTCTAGCGTCAGGTGTAGTCGTCGTGCTGTCTCTCGATTTATCAGGCTGTGACTCGCACATCCGTCGATGAATATTTTTATTTTTCTTCCGTTGAGACGTCCCTCCGCCAGTACAGGGTGGTCCACTGGGTCATCCCCCTTATTCAGCCGGGAGCGGTTGATAGCATGTATCGAAACCACTACTCGGTGGGGATGGTGTTTTTGGGCGATGAGGCTGCGTTCTTCTTTATCTGCTTCTTTCGGGGGCAATCGTGAGATTGGTGACCCGGCTGGTGGCAGTTGAAACATTGTCCTTTGCGAAAGTCTTCCATGTGCTCCCTCGTCACTACGCCGTGAATCGTGGGCCATGGATTCTGGCCACGAAAACGATTTCCCTCTCGGGAACCCGCTCTCGCATACATCCGATGTGCGTCGAAAGTGTCTGCAATCCGGACTGCTTCGTGAAACGTCGCCGGAAGTTGCAGTCGGACCTCGCATTTAATGTCCTGCTTCAGACCCGAAATGAATCGAGCTTTCTTTTCGGAGTCATGCATGTCGGTGATTTGATCGCATAACGCCATGAAGACCGACGCGTAATCCTGGACAGAACTCCACTGGCGCCAGTTGTCCAGCTTCATACGTGCGTTGTCCGAGGCGGATATTGGCTCGAACCGTTCACGCAGAGCTGTACCCCACGCCTTCCACGTGCGAATCTTGGTCGATCCAAAAATCGCGGTTGACTCTTGGGCAGCAGACCCAAAGTTTCCGAAAAACCCCTATGTGTCACCTGCCGAAAACCCCCTCTCCTGTACTATATATCGCCACCAATCTAACAGCCAGCCGAATTTTTGAATCGTCAGCCGCGATCCCAGCGGCATTAAAATAAATTCCGCCGAAAATAACCAGCCCGTAACAGTAGTATTCTTATCTGTTGGGTTGAACGGGTTTGGCATTGTCGGTTTGATCGTCGCTGTCGTCACGATCGGCATGAACGACGGTGCGGCTTCAGTAGCGGCTGCTTCTGACCGAGCGGCTGCTGCTGTCGCTGCTGCTTCAGCTGCTGCGGTGGCTTCACTGTCCTTGCGCTCCTGGGACACCTCACGTGCGATTTCGTCCAATACGGTTTCGACACGTTCGGTGCTGGCGACCTCCTCTTCGGTGGCAGTTTTCTGACGCGAATCCTCTCGCGCTTGGCGTAACTCGGCAACTTCTGCACGAAGTCGCTCGTTGTCCTCCAGCATTGTAGCCATGCGTGTGTTCATGGCGTTGAACTGCTCCCGAAGCTCGTTGAACTGAGCTTGGTCCATTTGGCGAATGCTCCGCCGGGGCAGGGGGAATTCCGTCGTGTGCCTGTACTCAGGTAAGCGCAAATGCTATCGTAGTTGGGCGAATTAATCAGTCTAATTCGCGAGCAACCGCTTTGCAGCTTACGTGAGGGACTTACCCCCCCCAACTCACGAAAACGGGTGAGCGAGGAACGTGGCTCTGAATACCAGGTGTTATGAATGAACAAGCAGAGTAGCGTGGAAATGAATAACGAAATGTTCACTCACTGAAATCTGACGATACAAGGAATGGCAAGCCAAGATATAGGAACACCAGAGCTAGTCTAACCATGAGATGGAAAGGTTCGGGAAGGAGATCGAAGGGTCTCGAGTGACGAAGCGAGGCCCGGAGAACTCCCGAAGGTCGAACCAGAAGGTCTGGAGAAGCCGAGGTGATTCTGTCAGAAAGGTCCGGAACCATCCAGAGGCTTGGGGTGTGTTCGAGCGTACGCGATTGCAGTACCGCTCGGTAAGGAATAGAAAATTCCTTACTTTATTTTCATGCGTAACATAGAATTGATGTTGCAGAAATATTCGTTTGGCTGGTATCTTTTATTTTCATAGTATTAGATTTTGGCGATATCGGTTAGCAGGATCATGTGTTGTAACATAACCTTCCCCGTTACCTATCAGTTTGAGAAAACTGTAATAGAACCTTGTACCGCAAAAGGATCACCCAGCAGCGGATATTTGTTTCCAAGACTGCCTCCCATGAACACGATAGACCCGACAAATATCGTGCGTACGAACAAGGGATGACGTGTTGAGGGCGTGTCCAGCGCGTGTGTTTGGCGCAATTACGGGGGTGGCTACAAGAAATATATTCGCGTTCGTGCGTAATCTGTGTCCCAATAATGACACGGCTGGGCTTTTCGTTACGAGTACGCGAGTGTCGTTCAAGACTGGCGAAACCCTGCGAGCTCTAACGAGCCAATGTTAGCTGTATAGGCTGGGCGCGGCCCGTATTTCGGGTTTTCGCTAGCTGTATTATGTGCGTGCCAATATTTCGGGTTTTCGCTAACCCAATGACGTTTTGGGGCAAGTGCGTGCGGTGTTCCGAGGGAAAGCCATACCCTGTGCGAGTACACTGCGTGCCTGGCTGGAGGGTGTGGCTACACGCTCAAAAGATGGTAACTGAAATCCAGGTTTCAGTCTATTCTGGACACACAGGACACGTCCTTGCTCGTAAAGCTGATGATCACAACATGATCCATCCATGCTGGCTGCACTGCCCACGCTATTGTGCGATAGAAAAACCACACGTGTTGCGTTCCCGCCAAGGAGAGGAGCTTGCTCCCGCCTTAGATATCACCGCGAGCAGTGAGGGACCATCCACCCCAGCCAGTGCAAGTTGCCACGCTATCAGCGCCCTTGATATGATTGGCCACGCGCCAACGCTCTACGAAAAGAGTCTTAAACCGAGTCGCGGCTATTCGTATGTACGTCACTCCGAAGGAGCCGCAGTTTTCCCATGTGTGCACACGAGAAGATTGCGGCGTAGTGTGGCGAGCGAGCAGCCGACATTCATCTGGGGAACACAGGGAGTCTGGGGGAAAGAAGACCAGGTTGTGTGGGGGAAGAGGCGGGTAACTGACAACGGGCGGAAAGAGGCTCGCCGCAAAGCCACCCGCCCAGCCCATGACCCCCAATTTTGCGGTGTAGCCTGAGAGGCTGCGGCAGTGAGCTCACCTCATCGCACGATGATGGGGATGACGGCAGTGAGCTCGCCACATCGATCGTGGCGTGCTGGGGAACGAGACGTGCGACGGAAGGCGGAGAGCGAGACTTGGGAGGCAGTGCTGACGGTGTGGTGGGGTGACGATAAATAGCGCCGCCCGTCACTCTCATTCACGCCCATCTCGAGCCGACGGAGTGAGAGAGCCGCAAGCCAGCCAGCTCTCGTCGTCGTGAGGGACTGTCACGAGACTGGACACTGTCACTCTCGTCGTTTCTTCAGCTACTCTCGAGCATCGTTTCACTCCCTCCGTCACCGCGCCATCCCCGCGTTCTCCGCCGCCTTCCCTGACGTATCCCGCTCTTCTGCGCCATCCGCGCATTCTCCGCCTTCAACACCCGCAAGCGGCGATCCGCGTCACCGCATCGTCCCCGCCATGGGTTCGCACACGCTCAACGTGCCCGTGCGCGTGTTCACATGGTCCGCGCGCGTCTTCTGGCTCGTCACGCTCGCGCTCCTCCTCACCTTCGTGACCTACCTCTCCAAGGACAAGACCGCGCCCAAACTCGCCGCGAATGGCGGGCTGTCGGCGTGCTTCGATTGCGACAACGGGTGGAACTGGCACGTGCTGCTCATGGGGATCGCGTTCGGCATCGCCATGACGGAGTCCATCCTCGCCTTCTGCTCCAGCTCGCTCAGGTGATACTTGGATCTCCTCTTTCTGTCCCCCGCCCCTCGCTGGTCCTTTCGTTTTCGTGAGACGAGCCCTTGGCATGCTGGCCGTGTTCGTCTTTCGCGTGCAGTGTGCCTGCGGCGTTTGTGACTAAATCGCGTGTGAATATAACGCGCGTGACTGTGATCTGTCTGGTCTGCTCTGCTGCCACCGCAGGACGAACGGGTACGCCGAGTGGCTGCACCTGACGTGGCAGGGGATCATCTCTCGGCAGTTGCTTGTGTAAAAAATGCGTGTGCCTGTAACGCATATGTATGCCTGCCTGTGCCTTTATTATTGTGTGTGATGCAGGGGAAACGGGTATGCCAAGTGGGTGCACTTGACGTGGCAGGCAATCGCGCTCATTCTGTCGGCATTCGCCATGGCTTCCATCGTTGTGGCCAAGGGGTCGGAGCACAAGCACATGTACTCCGTGCACACCTACTGCGGCGTGCTCACCCTCGCGCTCTTCGCCCTCCAGGTGCGCCTACATGATCGCTCCTATCTTGATAGCACGTTGCTATTTGCTCCTTGGCAGCATTCGTCGGATCTTCATCGCGAGACAGCCTCCGCTTGGGACATGTGATTGTCGCCCTCCTCTTTATCTCAATCGTATGAGTTCTTCTCCGAACCAAGCTCGTTGCAACCTCGGAGGTTCTCCTGTGCTTCCCGGCCTATGCGTATCCGACCCGACCTGACCACTCTGCCTAACATTGTTCCCACGCTGTGCTCTGTGCCATGTGGCGTGCTGTCTCAATGCTCTCTCCCTGCAACACGGTTGGCGTGAAGCCTGTGCGGTGCGTGTTCGTGCTGTACTAGAGCTTCCTGTCCCTCTCCCAATGCCGTACTGTGTCCTGTGCTGCCCTCTCCCCTTTTCTGCATCACAGTTCGCGTGGGGCCTGTGCGCGTTTGTGCTGTTCAAGAGCAAGCTGTCGGACGCCACGCGGTACCAGATGGGCACGTACCACATCCTGCTGGGAAAATTCACCTACTTCGCTGGCATCGGCACCTGTGTCGTGAGTATGCTTGCTGCTGCTGCACTATGGATGCAGAATTCGTCTTCCCTTTTCCTTTATATGCAGATATAGGGCAGTTGGGAACTTGGGATGGAATGGAGGAGGGCTGTTAGAGCCAACGGCTTTGGTCCCCGTATCCTGGTGTATATGTCTTTTGCTCATTCTCTCCCAATTTCTCAAACGACCTTTGCTTTCATGCGTTTGTTTTGTTTTGTTTTTCAGAATGGGTTTGTTGACATGCAGATGATGATGGTGCACGCGGGGCAGCCGTACTACGGCAGTGCCACCATGGCACAGAACTGGGCCTCTATCTTCCTGTGGCTCACCTCGGCTGCTGTCTTTGGCGCCATGACTACTTCCAGGACTGCTGAGCTCGTCACTGATTCCGATGAGAAAGTTGCAGTGTAGTTGGGTTGTTAGCAAAGGCGCTGTCAGAATACTTTGTTCATTGCCCCAAGATTCAATGAAAAGAAATGGCTCATGTGATATTATTATTTTCCAGGAAATAATAGGTAAATACAAATTGCAATGAAGTTAAAAGTATCTCAACATGCATGTCAGTTTTGAATCTAAGATGTATGTATCAGAAAGAATAATTGAACTAGAATGTGTGAGTACAAGGATATATAGACTAGGGTGTTGTACCCTCTAAGGCACAATCTAGAATAGTCTACAGTAACGACCTAAGTTACATTTGACACACCCCCTGGACTAAACAGGGGCAGTGCCTAACAAGGGAAGAAGTAGCTTAGGGTGGCACTACTAGTCCAGCCTCTGAGACAACGGTCTAAAGACCAGTCAAAAGGAGTACAGACAAGGCAAGAGCAAGACCAGGGCAGGACTACTAGTCCAGCCACTGGGAGAGGCCACAAGGCCAGTCAGGGTAAAATATATACATAAAGGACAGTACAAAGTCAAGGCCCTAGCAAGTGAGCTATAGGAACGAGACCCAGCTGTACACAGTGCCACTGATGGTTTTCAGGCGCAAGCTCGTAGAACTGAAGAATGTATTGAATAGAGAGAGAGTACAAGGGTATATACCTAAGAGTGTTGTACCCTCTAAGAAGCGACCCTATACAGTCTATACAAACATGAGTTATGCTTATGTTTGACACACCCCCTAGACTGCATAAGGGAATGACCTGAACAAGCAGCTCATGGCGGCACTACTAGTCCAACCTCTGAGACAAGGGTCTAAAAGACCAGTCAGACGGAGTACAGGCAAGGCGAGAACAAGACCAGGGCGGCACTACTAGTCCAGCCACTGGGAGAGGACACAAGTCCAGTCTGAGTATACATATAAAGGACAGTACAAAGTCAAGGCCCTAGCAAGTGAGAGGCTACAGGAACTAGACCAAGCTGTACGCAGTGCCGCTGATGATCCTTAGGCGCAAGCGCCTTCGTAAAGATATCAGCTGTGTTGGCACCTGAGGCCAAGTGTACTACGCGAGCCTGGCGTCGCTGCTGTAGCTCGCGCAGGAGGAAGTATCGCAGCTGAATATGCTTCGCTCTACCCTCGAGTCGAGGCTCCTGACACAGGAGGATCATGGCCCTGTTGTCAGCGAACAGGACCGGGGCAGAGCTAGGCCGCTCACCTAAGTCAGTGAGCAAGAAGGTCAGCCAGCGGAGCTCCTGTGCAGCCATGGCACCAGCGTAGATCTCAGCCTCACAGCTGGACTGGGCAACAGACAAGGAGCGGGTAGCTCTCCACGAGACGGCACCTGAGCCAAGGCTGAAGCAGTAGCCCTGGGTAGACCTGAGTGTCTCGGCATCGTCTGCCCACGAAGCGTCTATGTGTCCAGTAAGGACCACTGGCCTGCGTCCTCCTAGCACTAACCCCATGCCCGATGTACTAGCAAGATAACGCAAAACCCTCTTAGCGGCAGACCAGTGCTGCGGTCGGTGTCTGCCTGTGGCCACAAAGCGAGCCAGGATGCTGAGAGGGTACGCGAGATCTGGGCGAGTGCAAGTCATCAGGTACATGAGACAACCCACCAGCTCTGCGTAGGGGCCGCTGGGCTCTACCGACTCCTCAGACACTGGAGTGGAGAGTCTGTGGTCTACAGGCAGAGGGGTGGGCTGTGCAGAGGAGAACTGAAGGCTGAACCTCTGAAGGACCTGGCGCACCAAGTGTGACTGAGTCAGGGTGATGGTGCGCGCAGCTCTGTCCCTGGAGATCTGCAAGCCAAGGTAACGGCGCAGTTCTCCAAGGTCAGTGCACGTGTGTCTCTTTAGCAGCTCTGCCTTCACGGAGGCTAGTGCGTCCCTGTCTGCTGTGGCAAAGACCAGGTCGTCGACGTAAACAAGGATGTAGAACGGAGTCTGGCCAGCACGAACGAAGAGTGAGGGGTCTGCGGAAGACGGAAAGAACTGCAGGTCAGCAAGCGTAGCACGGAGAGTGTCGTGCCACTCACGGGGAGCCTGACGCAGGCCGTAGACGGGGTGCCGCAGGAGCCACTAGGTCCCAGGAGGGAAGGTACCAGTAAAGCTTTGAAGGCGACGCAAGTAGACCTGCTCGTGTAGGCTGCTCTGAAGGAAGGCAGTGGAGAAGTCGAGGGAGTGAAGCTCGTAGTCACGCTGAGCAGCTAGGTGTAACAGAACCCGAAGAGTAGTCATCTTCGGGGTCGGAGCGAAGGTCTGGAAGAAGTCCACCCCCTCACGCTGACTGAAGCCTCTAGCGAAGTAGCACGCCTTGAACACAGGCGGCTCTCCAGGAGGGCGCTTCACCTTGAAGAGCCAGCGGCCATCGACTACGTTCACCCCAGGCGGGGGAACTGCGTCGACGAAGGTGCCGGTGGATCTCCAAGATGCCATCTCCTTCTCCATGGCAGCTATCCACTGAGAGGCCCAAGGTCCCGAGGTCGCCTCAGCGTAAGTGCGAGGGGTCGGGATGTCGAAAGCGTCTGGGTCACCCTCAGGGACTAGCAGCATGGAACAGAGATGGCGAGCAGCCTCGGACAGGAAAGCAAGCTCGAACTGGCGGTCCTCCAGGACGTCACTGCCAAGGGCAAGAGCACCCCTGACAGACGGAGGACAGGCAGGGTCAGAGACCAGAGCGGTGGCATAGTCAAGGCGGCGGGTAGAGGCGAAGTCAGCGACCGCAGCAACAAGAGCGTCAAGGCAGGAGACCGGAACAGACGGGTCGGTAACAAGAGAGGCAAGGACCCGAGGAACAAGAGGACGAGCGGCACGGAGGTAGTCAGACAGCGGGGGGGGTGCAGCAACAAGGGAGGACGGAGGAGGCGACGGGAGAAGGGGAGGACGAGACACGTGGGAACGAAGCAATATAGGGTGGGAGCGCAAGACAGGCGAGGCAGGACGAGCACGGGAGGGACGGTGAGACCAGAAGTGCGACGGAGGAGTCGGGTCAGGAGACAGGGGAGGGGACATAGGAGGGGAACGAGGAGGAAGACGGGCCCGGGACGAGTCCGGTGGAGGGAACACGGGGCCGTAGACGGGAAGAGGAGGAGACGGTCGGAGAGCAACAGCCGCAGGGTCAGGGGACGGAAGGCCGAGCAGGCGAAGGGCTGACACCGGCGGGGACTGCTGCTGCGGCGGCACAACGGCGACACCGGGACTGCAAGCGGCTCCGCGGCTACCACGGGCACACTCCACACCAGCACCCCCAAAGGATCCACCCCCAGGGCGACCGGGACTAGCACCCCCAGAGTCAACGGACGGGTGCTGCGACGGCGGCGGCGGCGGCAGCAGCGACAACGACGGCTGGAGCGGCGGCAGAGGCGGTGGAGGAGGGGACTGGGGAGGGGACACTGGGGAGGGGCGGCCGGCGAGGACTGCGCAGCAGGGCCACCAGAGTCAGAAGACTCCTCAACCGGGTCCACCGACGGAAGGGGGGTGACGTGGGACACACCAGAGGGGGCGGGACGGGGAGGAGGAGGGGGAGGGGCAGGGACTACCGGGGAAGGAGTGACCAGGAACAGGGGGGGGTTAACCGGGGGACCGCGGTGGGGGAAGCGACGGTAGTAGGAGACGGACTCGTCAAAGGTGACGTCGCGAGAGTGAAAGAAGCGGTGAGACGGCGGGTGGTAAAAGTGCTAGTCGGACGCGTCAATGGGAAAGCCGAGGAAGACGCATGGAAGGGTGCGGGCAGTGAGCTTGTCCGTGCCGGAGGCACGGACGTGAGCAAGGCAGCCCCAGACGTGGAACGCAGACGCGTCACCAGGAGACCCAGTCCAAAGACGGGTCGGCGAAACCTGCGGCTGCTGGGGGTGCGGCCACAGGTTAAGCTGGTGAGAAGCGTAGCGCACAGCGAACGGCCACAGAAAATGGGGTGCACCGGCATGGATCATGGAGGTGCGAGCCACCTCCATGACCAAACCGATGCGTTGCTCAGCGACCCCATTCTGCTGTGGGGAGTCCGGTAGGGTGAACGTCTGGGTGATGTCCTCCGCACCACAAAAGCGACCAAGGACACCTGAGGCAAACTCGCCACCACGGTCAGAGTGAAGACGCAAGACAGGGAGACCGCGGTGGACACGCACAGAGACAAGCCAGGGGATGAGAGCGCCAGGCACGTCGGCCTTGCGCTCCAGGGGAAAGACTGTGGTGTAGCGAGTGAAGTTGTCGACAAGCACAAGGAAGTAGCGCTCGCGACGCGGCCCAGGGACGGGGGCGGGGCCCCAGACGTCCAGGTGCAGGGTCTGCAGCGGCGCGGCGGTAGGGGGAAACGAGGAGGAGTGAGGGGCACGGCGAAGCCGACCCTCGAGACAAGGCGTGCAAGGTGGGGCCGGGGAGGAGGGAAACTCGGGGAGAGAGCCTGGGAGACCAAGGACAAGACCGTGCTGGGACATGTGACGCAGACGTGGGAGCGCAGGGTGACCTAGGCGGTGGTGCCAAAGGAGAGTCGGGTGAGTGAGGGACCGACAGGAGCAGGCAGCAGCAACCTGGGTAGACGCAGCCACCTAAGGGAACGCTCCAGCCGGGGGGGTCACGGTGTCCAGAGTGAACAGGCCGGACACCGGGTCCCGGGGGAACGTGGACAGGGGGGCACCAGTGGCGGCCTCGGTACAGACAGCATACCGCTCGTGACCAGGGAACGTAGTGGTGACGCCAAGGTCCTGGAGGCAGCCGACACCAACTAGGTTCCTGGAGAACGAGGGGATATGCAGACCTGTAAGAGTGCCCGAAGGAACCGCCGGACAGGGAAGGGTGGTGGAACTGCGGGCGACTACCGGACCGCCGGAGGGGTCAGCAAGAGAAACGGCAGCAGGAACAGGAAGCGGCGTCAGTGTGGTGAAGTCGCGGAAGAAACACCGGGAAGCGCCAGAGTCCAAGGTGAAGGAAAGCGAAGCAGAGGCGTCTGGCGACGGAACGACGGCGGAAGCACCAAGACTACACAAAGCAGGGGATCCTACGCCTGACGCAGCAGGGGAGGCTAAGCTAGGCACACCTACACTAGCCGACTGTGAGTAATAAGCGGGAAGCACACTAGAGTCATCAGCATACATCACATGCAAAGCAGAAACAA